CAGTGTTGGCTCAGGGGCCAGGGGCCAGGCATGCGTAGAATGGAGGTGTGTGAGCCAGATGCACCCAATCACTCCATTAAGATACCTAGCTTTGGGGATAAAACCAGAGGGTTGAGGCCCTGAGTTGGGGAGCTTCTACACAGATTGGGTACTGGATGCTGTGTGGTTGATGGCCTGGGGTCTCTCTCGCTGCCCATCTGGGGCTCCTGGCAGCTGAAGGGGAGAAAATACTCTTATATGGTATAAATGCTGTTTTGTTTGCCTGCAGGTACTATCATTGCTTAAGTAAAGCGTTGCTTTTCCTTTACCTTCTGGCGTGTTCATTGCCTCCAAATCCAAAAGAACCTCTGCCTTTGGCAGAACATACGCCTACCTAGACTTTGAGATCTATGCAGGAGGCCGTCCTGTGTGAGCCATCTGCAAGGGAAGTGAGAGGGATGACTGTTAGGCCTTTTCTGCGGCTGCTCCCTATATTTGGAATTTTCTCCTCAAGGAGATTTGCCTGGTGCTGTCTTTGTACTCTTTTTGGCACTAGGAGGAGACCTTCCTTTTGAAAAAGCATTTTAATAGTTGATGCTACTAAACCTTTGTTTTGTATTTTTATCTGCATTTTATTAGTGTTGTATTTTTTAATTGTTTTGTTGTAATTTTTTATCATATGATTGTGAGCCACCCAGAGGTGCTGTGGCACAATAAGTGGCATATAAATGTTTTAAATATCACCATTTGTTATGAATTGTGGCCTGGGCCTCAATTCGACGTGCTTGTGTCAACATATAAAGCCCTAAATCACTTGGGCCTCGGTTACCTTAAGGAGCACGTACACCCATATGTGCTTACCCGGCCTTTGAGATCCATGCAGGAGACCCTGGAAGCCAACATGAAAAACAAAACCTGATGCTGTCATACTTCCAGCACCTGATGACAAGGCGAGACTCACTGGAGAAGACAATAATGCTAGGGAAAGCAAAAGCAGAAGAGGAAGGACAAATATGAAGTGGCTCAGTTCCTTAAAGGAAGCTACAGCTTTTAAAGAATGTTGAAATTGTTTTCTTAAAATAAGATACTGTCTTCTGTTTACATAATTAATTTTGTCATCATTGGCATACTCTGCCAACTTATTTTTTCAATGTACAATTGTTGGGCATTCTGATGCTTTCTATTTAGAAACAACTGTCATTCTTGCTGCAGTGGTCATTATATAAGTAACTCAGACATTTTTTTTTTGTAAAAGTCCCTGGCATTATATTCAAAAGCAGATTCATAGTATCCATAGGAAACTTAGTTTTGAAGAATTTTTTGTATTTCTGCATGTGTTGACTTCCAAAATCTTTTGTTTCACAAGTCTACCATATATGGGAGAAATTTCCATCTGCTTTCGTATATTGTATTCCAACAGTTTCTATTGCAGTTCTTAACAATTTTTTCCAATATCTTTCAGGGCAATGCACCATTGAAAAAACATCATAGACCTATTCTCTCTCAATGCTTGATTAGCTGTGAATTTAATGTTCTCCCATAAGTCAAATGCCTTGACTGCACCTACCATAACATATTAACAATTAATTTTCCAATCTTATATTTGCAAATTACTACCATGGATACCTGTTATTGTGTGGTGGTTACTCCTTGTGATCATATTCATTGTGCCCTCTAATAGTGCTAAATGGTTCAATTATGCATCATTTGCCAAATCAGCATATGGCCATTTTAAGGGAAGTGAAGCCACCTCCAAGATCTGCTCCGTTGCTTACAGCAGGTGATCGAAGGCATGATTAGATCAAAAAAAGGCCTCCAAACTCTCAGGCTGAGGCCTGCTGGAAAAGTCCTTTTCTGATTAAATGTACCTAAGATTGTTGGCATATTATGTGTATTTATAGGCTGCCTATAACTGAAGTGGCCTGCCAGCACCTGATCACCTTCGGCAGTTTATAAGAGACAATTTCAGCTGATAGGACTGACTACACCTGCAGAAATTCTCACATGTGTGCAGCTAATGGAAGTACAGAAGCCCTGCCATCTTTTGTACCTGGTCATAACACACAGCCCCCACTCCTCCCTCAGTACCATCATCTAAATAACTGGTAGCAGTAATAATAAAAAAAGTATACAATTGCCAGAATTTCGAGTTTAATAAGTTGCAGGCTTATCTTGTGAAGGGTGAAAATGCAATCCTAAATATGTTTAAAAATAAGTCCCTCTGTTGTATATAGCATTTCTCCAGTAAGCTTAGATTATGAATGGATATGTAATAAAGAGCAGTCTATTTGATTTGTAGCCAGTTCGAAAGCTCTGCGTGCAAAAGCATCAGACAAATTGTAGGGGGGCAGTTGGCAGTTTAAGGGTTTGCACGAATTTAAAGACAACATCGCAAGCTTTTAAAATTATTTGGAGAAAAATAAGGGGGGGGACATTCGGGGAGCAGGCTACTGACCCGCTTAGGGACGCGCTGTAAGCACCTGCTTCCTAATAGATTTACTGGAAAGCTGGAACACAAAATAGCCAGCTCTGGAAAGACCTTTCTGAAGCAAGGCTGACTGAGTCCAGGGAGCTTTCCGGTGAGCGCTTCTTAGAGCGCTTTGAGTCACCACAAGGAACTGCAGCAACCGCCGCAGACCACGAGGGAGCAGAAAACGCAACCCAGGCGCCACGGCGAGTTACCCTTGCCCTTCAGTTTACGCCCCAGCCGCCCTTGGACTTATCAGCTGAGCCCCCAGTGACGGCGCGGGCCTCATTGTGCAAGAGAAAAGAAAGGCCGAATCCTCGCTCTTCTCCCCCCGTGGGCTGTGATTGGGCAACACGCATAGCCTGAGCCGCTTCAGGGAGCTCGGGGTTGGCTGCGTAGGCGGAGGCGCGGCTAGAACGCCGAGGAGCTACCGTGAGTTGCGCTTGGCTCCTCTCCGGGCGCTGCTTGGGCCCCTGCCTGGTTTATCCGGTCTTGCACGGGTGTGGGCTTAACGCTGAGCCGGGAACAGTCCTCGGGAGCGCTTCTTCTTCCTTTAAAACTGCAAGCATCCGTGCTCTTTCGCTTGGGAGGAGGTCCACTGAATTAGGTAGGCTCACTAATGCGCCGACTATAATCCAGCTCTGCACCCTGCCGCTAGGGCAAGCATGGAACTAAATAAACGGCAGGGTGGGTGGAATCGGCCTGCGATGTGGGTTCTTGCCCTAGCCGAGGCTGTGTATCCCTTTCGGCTGTGGACGCGAGAGGAGCTTTCGGCGTAGATCGTCAAGGCATAGGAGCGCTCCTGTGCTCTTGACCTGCTCCTGGAAGGCTGGCCAAGGGGACAGCCTGCTTTGCATGCTCGCTGGAGGGGCAGCGACGTAGGTGGCGGTGAGTTTGGTAATGGCAAGTAGGAAACGTATCTGGGCGAGGAGTTCCCTTTGCTGGCGTGAGGAACCGCTTTTTTGAAGCCTGTGAGTGCTGCTATAGGTGCCACTTCGTGACTCACGGCGAGGAGTTAGTTGATGATGGAGTTACTGGCGTGGAGGCGAAGGTACAGAATGGGCGGACTTACTTGGGTGGTGGCAACTCACACGTTTTCTTGTGATCTTTTCCATTCTGATCCATTCAGCGAGTGGTCCTTTTAGAAAGTATAATAGGAGCATGATTAGACAGAAACAAGGCCTACAGCTTCCAATAGTGCTGGAAGTTGTAGGACTTTTAATGTGTAAACATGCATAGGATTGCACTCATTACTAATCAGTATGGCAAAGTCATTTGAGGACTGGAACTGCTGCACTGGATGCAGGTCTCTTGCATTTCTTTGAATTAAGACAGAATTTATGGGAAGTGCTACTCTCGGATAAGAAAAATCTGCATCCGTTGAAACTGATTCTACCATGTAACTCCTGCAGGCTTGACTAATGTTGTGGTTCTGGCTTGCCAGCTGGTGGCCATTGCCTATGGCAAGAGGGAGAAAAAGTGCTGGCCTGGAAATAATTTGTTTAGAGTACTTTATCTCTCCATGTCTCTATCTGTTCCATCCAGGACTCTGGAGAAGAAAAGTGTTCCTCACTGTTCTAAGACAAAGTGCAGTATCCAGAGCTGTGCAGAATCTAACACTGTTGGTAATTAGGAATGTGGTAGCTATGTCAGAACAGCTGCAACCTGGTGCCTTCCAGGTGTGCTGGATTGAATCTCTCATCAGCATGGCCCTTGGTAGAAATGGAAGTTGGAAACATCGGAGGGCACCAGAACAGTAAATGTCTGTGTGTTACTATGTGGTTCGTGCATTGGAATTTCCACCATCTTTATCAGCTGGTCTTCCATAGCGGCTTGAATGGCACATAGTAGCCAGGGATGATGCTGAGCTGCAGGCCATGCTGATTTCAGCTGTGGATTTCTGCGGATCATATTGTGGTTAGTAACTTTTCCTTGTTAACAGCACAAGAGCAGGCAGGGGGTGTTTTTCCTAGTTAGTTGTTAACCCATGTGACTATTTCCAGTGTTCAGAACTTCTTTAAATGTTGTGTTTTCATTTTGTACATGCAGCTTTTGCTGTTACACTTTTCTAAAGCAGTTCAGCAGTGAGCAGCTTGAAATAACCCTTTCATGGGAAGCTTGTTGTTTTGTGCTGTCAAGTTCATCTCTGCTTTATGGAGAACCTCTGAATGGGTGCCCTCCAAAATGCCCATTCCTTGATAGTCCTGGTCAGTTCTTGTAGACTCAAAACTGTGACTTCTGTTATGGAAATGAGCCATCTTGTATTTGGTCTTCCTTTTTTCCTGGCTTCTACTCCGTTAGCTTTGCTCTTTCTCTAGCAAGTTTTGCCTTCTGATGATGTGCTGCAAGAATGACAGCCTTATCCTCTTTCACTTTTGCTTCAGGGGCAAGCTCTGGCTTGATTTGATCTAGGAACCCCTTGTTCATTATTGCGTCAGTCCGGAATATTGCAAAGCTCTTTCAGCAGCACATTTCAAGCATTTCTTCCTGTTAGCTTTCTTCACTGTTGAACTTTCACACTGCTACAAAATGATAGGCGATGCAATAGTGTGGATGAATTTGGCCTTGGTCTCCAGCGAAATGCCCTTAGCCCTGATGATCTTTCCTAGTTCCCTTCACTGCTGCCCTTCTTTAATGTCTTGGTTGCAGTCTCTGGTTATCATGATTGAACCAAGGTAGGCCAAATCTTTCACAATGTCACTTTCTTGTTTAAGGTTAAGTTGTGTAATTCTTCTGTAGTCATGATTTTTATTCTCATAATACTCAGCTGTAACCCCTCTCTTGTACTCTCTTCTTTCACTTTCATGAGGAGTCATTGCAATCCATTACTACTTTCTGCCAGTAGTATGGTCTCAACTGAATATTATTGCATTAAATTTATGCCCTATCTTTTTCCGCTTGCAAGGAACCCAAGGCAGCTTATGCAGCTTAATTTTTATCCTCCAAACAACCCTGTGAGGTAGGTTAGGCTGCGAGGAAATGACTAGCCCAAAGTCACCAAATGTGGACCAGGGACCAGACCTCTTAACCCAGATCTCCCAGGTCTCCTGTCCAAACTCCAGCCAGCACACTTGTTCTCAAATATCTCAAATTATAGATGTATCTGATGTCATTTTTCCCTTTTCCTTCCTCTGATCCCAATCAAGCTTTCCTTATGATACGCTCCATATACAGATTGAATAGAGATAGGGAGGAAAAAAATTCCGTTTTTGATGTGTTTGCCTATAGGAAAGCAGCCTGCTTCTTCATGTTCTGTCCTACCAGTAGTTTCTTGTCCATAATGCTGGTAACTCATCAGCATTATGAAGAAGAAGGCACACACATTTCCTTTGGAAGTATCCATAACTCCTTGTGATTCACACAGTCAGAAGGGTAGGTTAACTCTACTAAAATGTGGTAGAAATAGTCACTTCCTCTTCTGGAACAGCTGTTATGTATTCTCAGCTGTTTTCGTTTTTACGTTCACTGCAAGGAGGAACCTCAACAGTGAGCAGTGTGCCTATCCTATAAGATTCCACCTAGTGTTCCTATCAGATTTTTTTTTTAAACAAGGTCTCTAATTATTGGGGAAAATGCGTATTTTCCCATTGAAGTTAACCAGATGGCGTTGGTGTAGCATAGGTTTCATGGATATTTGTAATTTCAAACTGAACACATTGTAGTGCTTGGGTAAATGGATGGCCTTAACAAAAACAAAGGAGTTCCTGATTTCCTGTTCAGACATTGCAGGTGATCCTGCTAAATGCTAGGATGGCATCTCATCCATACGAGCACCTGAGTTGATGTTGTAGTTTTCAAATCCAGTACAACAGCTTTCCCCAACCTAGTGCACTCTAGCTATATTGAATTTACTCCCAGCATCCCTCAGCCAGCCTGGCTAGGAGAAGCTGGGAGTTGTAGCCTAAAATATCTGTTGGGCACCAGATTAGGAAAGAAGGAGGAATGAAATGTTTAGAGCAACTTAAGACACAGTTGCATGTGTGTTCAGACAAAAAAAGGCATTCCTTGTTTGCAGGATTTTCGGTCCAAACATGTTTAGAATTGTGTTCTTATGGTATCCTTGTAATGCCTAACCTTGGAAGTGCCTAGTTCTATTAAAAATACAGCTTGAAATATTGTGTATCATAGATTATTAAGAGCCATTGAAAGATTACAAATGTAGGTTTTAATCAGTTTAAGTTCCAATTTCATTTTTGACCTAGGTTAATTTTGGAAAGATAGTTTTGTTTAAACAGATCATTAATGTAGGCATAAGAGCATGTTTGATCTCATTTATCCTTTTTTACAGTTATTATCTTCCCCACTAGTAGTTACAATTTATGCAAGGAGAGAGGTATGGGTATATGCAAATATATTGCTTATGCAAGGTGATCTGTATGGCTATATGTAATGCATATTGCTGTTCTCAAGATTTGTTAAATGGTTATTCTTATTGCTATATTACATTGCATTTATATCCCATCTTTCTTTCCCTTGCAGGGAGCCTTAAGCCAGCTTGCAAGGTTCTCCTCTTTATTTTATTCTCACAACAGCAACTCTGTGAGGCAATTTAGGCTGAGAATCAGTGACTGGATCAAACTCGCCAATGAGTTCCAGAGCTGAGTGGGAACTAGAACCCAGAACTTCTATTTCCCAGTTCTGGACTGGTTCTTGAGCTAGGATCATACCCAGTTGCTTTTGTTAATGAAATGCTCTGCAATAGAGCAATCTATCTCAACCTGGTATCCCCCAGATGTTTTTGACTTTGAATACTTAGCATTCCCCACCCTTGCCTGGGCTGGCTGGGGCTGGTTGGAGAGGAAGCCCAGAACATCTGGACTGCATCCAGTTGAAGAAAACAGCAGTAAAGGCTCCATTGAAGGAGGGGAAGACAACCCAGAGACCCTGCAAGGAAGCTTTCACTGGGTTAAAAAGCCTTCAGCAGCAGACACACAACTGAGAGGGTTCTTCCCTTACAGGCAAACTAAAAATTCTTTAAAGAAATACATGTATGCATAGAGACAACCCAGAGACTACTTCATCAGTGCTGTGTTGCTGGAATCCATTCACAGGCGAATTCACCTTAAAATTGTAATAATATCCCACACTTCTAAAAATCTGTGGTTAAAGAGGTTGTCAGTTTCTTCCTGGCTCTGTTTGTTTTTCTCTTACTGAGACACTTTTAAATGTATTCATCAAGAAGATAGAGATTTCTTGGAATGGAGATAAAAAGATGTAGGAAGTGCTTTGCACGCTGAATATTAACTGTGCCATTAAAAGCAGACCCAAGGAGGAAGAGTATTCCAGGCCATACCAGTGTCTTGTTTAGTGCCTTGGCTTTTGTAAGCCCCCTTTCCCCTTTGGCTTTTTAAACTTGACTGTATTTTGCTGGTCATGGTGCTGTTGTAGGATAGTAGAGCTGAAATGCAATTTCTTTCCAGTCATGTGTTGCTAAAGGATTGCAGCACAAGGAGAGTTGTGGTCACTGTGCAAAGGCCAAATTCAGTAAGATTAGACATGTGGGGATGGTGCACCACTTCGCTACAGCTATTCGAATGGTAATGTTCTCTGGCGTGTGTTGCTAGATCTGTTGTTCTCATCCAAACTAAAGACATAATTTCAGAATGGGCTAGTTTTACCATATGAGGAAGGCTGGTAGAGTATTCATACTGTGATAGCAACACCGGCAAATGTCACAACCTCAAGTTTTAAAGTTGCTGTGCAAGGCAATACAAATTTGTACTATGTTGGGTATAATTTCAGTGAATTTTATCTCTGGTAGCTCAGAAGAGTTTGCACTGTGAAAGTGCAAACTGGTGTCTGTGTTTGATTGTGTAAAAGGGATTATTGAGTAAAGTAGTATTTTTAGTACTTTCTACTGGTAGGCTGTCTGTCAAAAGCCAGTGTCTGTACGTTCTAAGAGCAGAGAGCAGATGGGTAGTCCTGTACCTACTTTCCTGGGGACATCCCCATAGAACCCAGCAGAATTAACTTCTGAGTATCTAGGATGATGGTCAGAACCAATATCTATTAGAGAGATGTATTCCATATTTTTCCTTTGCAGCAAGCATCTATGGTGCTAAGCTGTAAAGCTGCCTTATCTTTTCGTGGAGGCTAATATGGACTTAAGTGCACATTCTTAATGGTTTTGTTTGCAGGCTTCATGGTCAATTATTAATTGCACTTTTGTGAAGGATGATTGTGCTGAATGATGTATTTGTTTTTCAGGCAGAGGAACGATGTGGTACTTCATAATCACAGCATGTTTGATGCAAGGCCTCATAACTTCAAAAGCTATTGTAAGAACACAGAGAAATGTGGATCCAGAAACAGCCATGAATATTGTAAGCTGTTTATCTTCTGCTTAATCCCCTTTATGTTAAGGACGTTTCAATTAGAGCAGCTTATGTTGTGATTATGTATTTGGGGATTTCAGAGGGCGTGACTCTTTCCATACATGCTTTATTTATCTCAACCCTCCCCACATCATACCTCCCCCTTCCAGGACATTTTTATTGCCCAGGGCAAAAAATAAAAAACAATGCAGTCCAATGCATGACATAAAGCAGTAGAGTAGAAATAGGGAAGGCAGATCAGTCTGCTCTAAAATGAGATTCTACGGGCAGAAGTCCTTTATATTTATTTTCCCCATTCATCTATTGCCTGTGCCTAACTAATCTCACTCAGTGCTTTCGTGATCCTTTCGTTAACCTTTCTCTGAAGTTGCAGCTCCTTATTCTGCTGGTGTTTTGACTCTCTTCCTTATTGCTCTGCTAAGCTTGGTTAAAAGTTTATCTGCACAAACATGACCTGAAAGCTTAGCTCTGGAGCTTCTTATTTTCATGGATATTCTTGAGTTGGTACATCAACCAGGCTTGCCTAGGATGCACTGATTCTAACCTACATCTTCCTTATCTTCAAAGGATAAATAAGAGGTAATGGAGGACTCTCACATTTTTCCATGTTCCTGCCTTGTTCACCGGTAGTACAGATCCTCCATGTCCAAGGCCTAAATCCAGGCCTTCTGGGGTATGCCCCCTTCCTCGTTCCCTTGACTGCCGGTTGTTGGTAGTTCCCTGGCTTTGGGGCAGTTGTCTGCTGTACTGAAAGGCTGAGGTGCCCCTCCTAAGGCCTATTAGCTGTTGGCAGTAAAAGCGGAAATACACTGGTACTGTTTGCCTCGCCCCCCTTGCCTCGCGTCTTGCCCAGCACTGGAATGGGCTCCCAAGAGTTTTCCAAAATGGGACCTGGCCCTTGGGCTGAAAGAGGTTCAACACCAATGATGTGTGAAATAGTGAATTTCTGCTTTCATAAAACGAGTGCATGAAGGAGACAGCTGAAATTGGTCCTTGCAGCTCATTTGTTGAGTTGAAACCAAGGTGGGGAGCAGCTTCTCAAAGCAGCAGGATGCAGTGAAATGTGGTTTTGTGATCAGAGCAGACGTCCAGTTCCTGCTTGTTCCTGACCAGAAAGAACACCTGCACAGCTGTGCTGGCATGTCTGCCTTGTCCCATTCTCAGTCGGAATGAGAACTGTAGGTGTTAGTTCTCTGCAGCAATTTCTTCCTCCCAACCATTAATTTGCTGTCAAGTTTTTCCTTGAGAATTATTCCAGGATGACTGCAGAGGTTTGAACAATTCAGTGGTTGCTCAGATCAGATAGCAATAGGTCCAGAAAGCTGTATAGCCTTATTTTGCCTGCCCTGCCTTTGTTTAAAGCATGCCTAATGGCTGATGTAGCTGCCAAACAGAGTTCTTGGATTTGTTTGCAACAGGTTTGAGAATAATATAATTCATTTGCTTGATTTATTAAACCACACCTAATAGTTCCAAACAGGACTCTCTGGGCAGTGTACAATCAGCAAAACAATTTAATATGAATTATACAATAAATATAATTATAAACCACAACTGCGACTGCCACACAATTCTTTAACAAGATTTATCCGTAGCTAGGATAGTGGCTAAATCGTCACCAAACAATTATTTACAATTGTTAACGTGTCTGGAGAATAAACCTGTTTTTGCCTGGAATAATTGTCATGAGTTCAGGCACCGTGTGCTGCTTTTTCTTCCCTTCGTTTGTGGTGCACTTTAGCCGTGCAAGTGTCTGTTCCCCTTGTGCCTGTGTCATGTGGGGCGGAGGGGTGGGGGGAAGGGTCTCGGAAACTCAGCCACTACTTAGCCTTGCCACCTGGAGCATGCCCTTGTTTCTCTTTTTTCCAGAGTGAAATTATTTCCTTTCGAGGATATCCCAATGAAGAGTATGAGGTGCTGACAGATGATGGATATGTTCTCAGTGTGAACAGAATCCCTCATGGGAAAATGACCCCAGTTAACAAAAAGGGTGAGTGTGTGCATGGCGAGGGGAGCGGGAGGTGTGTGCAACACGTGCACACCAATATCTCAGGACTGTGGGGGAGTTTTAAAAAGAAAGTGCCCCCTTCTTGCTTTGCTGCGGTTTGCCTTTCCCTTGGCAGTGCTTGATTACTGCAGCTGTCCTTCCCATTCAGGCACAAGTTAAGGGCGCAGTCCTATCCTGGTTCTTGCCATGCTGGCTGGGAGGGGGCGAGGGGGCGCATTTGGCTCTCCCAGCTCTGTCCTGGATGTTGGGGGGGGGGACCCTGATAGCCTGTGGCCCCACGGACAACGGCGCAGTAAGACAGCTGGCCAAGGAGTAAGGCTGGGTGGATGTGGTCTGCAGAGTTCATTGTGCAGAATGGGTTTTCTTCTGCAAAACGAGATATAGCAATGAGAGTGGTGCCACGCCAATCATTATACATTTATCTTTTTCCTGGTACCAATGACATAACATTCTGTTTGTTTATTGGTTTTAATTGAGGGAACCATGCAAAAATAGCAGTCACTACTGTGATTGGTGGGTTCCCTCCACAACTTTGGGACTATGAAAGGCATGGACTTTTTCTTCTTGTTTAGCCAGTGCCACAGGTAAGATGCACATCTAATGCAACAATAATGGGTGGGGAGGGGTAGAACTCCTGCCCTGATCCCCTTTTATGCACCCGAAACATAGGTGGTCTGCCTTTTTTACCACTGCCGTCATACTGCACTGTTGAGATGCAAACATACCCACTCCAGAAACGTAGCAGAAGTTATCTGCGTTGTTCACACAGTTTGGAGGCATCTGGGCTTCTGAGTGAAAATATCATGCAACTCTTCCTTGGAAATGTTAGGCAATGACACTCACAAGGCACCCGATGTAACTGTATGATATGTAGATTTGACCAAGCCAAATGTACCTTGCAATAAAAGAACAATAAATTCCAGTTAGGTAATAATCTTTAGTCTCAAAGTGAAGATAAATTTATATACTTCCATGTGGTACCATTTTCATTGTTCTACTGTACTTTGTCGAGAAGTTATAAGGCATCACGATCATCAGGCACCTTCCTCCCTTGTAGGCAATTATACTCGCCTGTGTATAAATCTTTCTTGTGAAATGTCTTAAACTTTAGCCAACCAACACATTTATCCCCTGTTTTCTAATTCACCTAATTAAAATATGCAAGAATTAGCACATTTTTATCTTGGAGGTTGATAATTTCCCATAATTTGTAGACCAGTGTAAGCTGCAGTTCAACCCACTGCCTCTTCATTTCTTTCTTCAAAGGAGAAAAATGGAGTAGTGGGAGGCAGCAGGGGCTATGACTTTCATTACTCTTGAGTAAGCACAGCATTCCCAATTGTGATTACACCCTTAGAGAGGGTGCAGCAGAGGTGTTAATCCTCTCTATCCCACTGTAGGCCCACCTGTGACTGTCACACATGTTGCCAGAGAACAAGCCATAAAAGGAAAGGGTTATCATTGGAGAATGCAGGTGCAGAGGGACGGTGAGGAGAGCATATGGGAGTCGCCTGAAGACACATCTTCCTCCCACGCGACTCCTTGGATCCAAGTGCAGACCACGTACTTCCTCCAGCGTCTTTTCCTGCTTGCCAGCAGTAATTGCTTTGGGTCTCTGAAACGCTTGTTTGTGATGCTGTTGAAAATGTTTCCCTTGCAGATCCCAGGCCCGCTGTGTTTCTGCAGCATGGCTTACTTGCTGATGGCAGTAACTGGGTTACAAATCTGGACTACAACAGCCTGGGGTTTATGCTGGCCGATGCTGGTTATGATGTTTGGTTAGGAAACAGCAGAGGTAACACTTGGTCCAGAAAACACATCAACTATACAGTGAGAGAAGACGAATTCTGGAAGTTCAGGTGAGCGAACTTGCCGAATAGAACTATTTGTTGCTTGGACTCCCATGCCCAATTTTAGTGCTTGCAACCAGCCATGCTTTTCCAGTTGATAGTGTCTGTGTGTGTGTGTTTAAATGTGTTGTGCTTGTGGGAAATTGTGTGCTTGGACAAAGTTGATAGCTCCTGCGTCAGATGACTTGGAAAGCACGATGTACTTGGAACACACGATTAATGAGAAGGATTGATTTCATAAGGGAAACCACAGCCTTGAATTTACAAGAGCTGAGCAGGGCCATGAAGGACATTACAGTAACTCAGAGGATCGCTGTGGATCAGAGATGCATTGGCAGCGCAAAACCACAGCCAACATGGGAGCCTGTACTAGTAGGAGAGTTACTTGTTTAAATCCTTGATATGAGCTACAAAATGGGTCCCATTGCGTTAAAGGGAGAGAGATGCCAAGTGCAGCACTGAAGTTACTAATTTACCTTGAATTCAGAAAGTATGTCGGGATGCAGATCTGTGCAATTCTGTGCATGAAAAATGTCCAGCACCTCCCTCCATTTCCCAGCTGTCTGTGCTGGCTGGTGAATTCTGGGAGTTCTAGGACTGACCTCCGTCTGAACATGCATAGGATTGAGCCCTTATAGCCTCTGTTAATATCATCCTTTAAAACAGTCCTCCTGACAGATTATCACTAATTGTATTTCTCATGTGAGGGAATTGCTAACTGGATGGGTCCATGGAGGAGGAGAGACTTGGGCCCTGGCCTGCCAGTCCAAGTCTTTCTGTTTCACGGGGTGGGTAAGAAGGCATTTGAGGAAACTGAGGCTGGGCAGTGTGAATCAGTCTATTATATTAAACAGAATGCTGTGGGTTTTTTTTTTTTTAGTTTTGATGAAATGGCTAAATATGACCTTCCAGCTTCAATAAACTTTGTCCTGAACAAAACTGGCCAGGAGCAAGTATTTTATGTTGGCCATTCCCAGGGCACCACAATAGGTAAGTTAACAAACTTGCTCATGCTTGCTGGAAATTCCAGTAGCTACATGTTCATCAGTTATCATTGCATATTCACTTCCCATGAAGAATCATCTCGACTAATGATTCCTTCTTGTGTTTCATGTGTTTTTTCTGACACATGTAAGCATCTTTTGTACAAGTGCAGTTTTAGGTGGCGTTAGGTCAAATTACATTATTCTCTGCCATATTCATGACCCAGCAATCAAACCAAATCATAAGAACATGCCAAAAGTCCTTCAAAAGTTTCTAGTTCTGTGCATTAGACTAGGACTTTCTGTGCTTAAGCATGCATAGTATTGTACTCTAAATTGTGCGGGGGTGGGCGGGAGGGGATTGTGCAAATAAAAAAGGTTCCCCTCCACATGCAAGCTCACCTTTAGGATAGTGGGGGCACGGATGGTGCTGGAGTGAGGAGCACTTATGTGTTCACCCTTCCTCTCTCACCCTGTGTGCTTATTAAGCAATGAAGCCAATGCTACGCAGGGCTAGAGCGTATAAGTCAAGTTCAGTTCTGCCGCCCGACTTCTCCATTCCTGAGAGAGGATGCAGTTCTAACAGTTTTAAGGGAGCAAATCTTGTGTATGCTTAGACAAAGGAAACTTTGACTCCCAGCATTCCCTAGCACAGGGGTCTCAAACTCAACTTACCTGGGGGCCGCTGGAAGTAGAGTCTGGGTGAGGCTGGGCCGCATCAAGTGTTCCACCCCCGCGGGGGTGGTGGGCGCTCATCCCGCGGCGCTGTGAAGGCCGCAGGGCCCCTCCCCCGTGTCCCGCCCCTCCCGGCAATTGGCCCGCGGGCCGCGAGTTTGAGACCCCTGCCCTAGCATGTCTAAACATGCACAGAACTGCACTTTGCTCAGTTGTGAGAAACATAGATAGAATGTGGAAAGAGGGCTTTTTTCTGTTTGCAGCCCTAGATTATGAAACTGCTTTGAGAGGCGTGGTTGCCGCTTCTTTCAGGTGTTGGGCATGCCGCCATGCCCTTTTTATTCCGCTGAGCATTCAGTGATCTAATGTTTTTATCTCTCCACTTCTAAACCTCCTGTAAGCAATTTCAATTATATGACTATATTTTTCAGATTTTTTCCTTGTATGTAGTGTTGATTGATGGGTTTTAATGGTTTTGTACATGCCTTTGAATTTGTTGTATAACAAAAACAGGGAAATGCCTAAATAAGGGTTCCTTTTGGCTTGATAGTTGCCGATGTAAAACTGTTTCTTACAGGCCCACATTAAGAATATGAAAAAGTAACTAGCCACTTTTCTGTTATGAGCAAAAGTCTAAAGTATAATCCTTGGGTCTTGTCCAGGATTGCATTACTAAATGTATTCTTATCTTTTCTTTCCCCCTGCCCCAGCTTTCATTGCATTTTCAACAATGCCACAACTCGCCAAGAAGATAAAAATGTTTTTTGGATTGGCACCAGTCACCACAGTAAAATTTGCATCCAGCCCTATGGTCAAATTTGGAGTGTTTCCTGAACTCCTGTTCAAAGTTTGTATTTCAGATGAACTATTTGTTTGAATGGCATAATATAAATATTGCTGGATGTAGCAAAGTACTTGGAAATGTGCTTCTCTTGTTCTGTACATACTTGAAGAAAGTGAATGAATGGCTCATTTTTAGAATAAATAGTTCTTATGGCCCAAGACTATTTGTAATGCTCTTAAGAAACATCTATGGTATTAGGAGTTCTGTGGTGTTCTATGGTATTCTATGGTTTTATGGTATTAGCAGAAGGTATCTTTGGCATAATATTGGTACAGTGGTTACAGATCACACCATTATATTCCAAGATAAAACCTGAACATGTCATGAGCGGAGCTTGCTGGTCAGACTAGATGGCCAGGGAAGCCACTTCTGAGTCGCTCTGTTTCTATGTATTCAGGCTGACTGATGTAGTAACTCGTTACCAGTGTGCTGGGGAAGTGTCTTATTGCACGGTACATACTATTTATCATTTTTCAGTGACTTTACACTGAATGTCATAATGGATTTCATCACCATCTTCTCCATGCTTTACTTCCCCTGTTTGAGTGACCGGTTTGCTAAATCAGTATGTAGACATACCAGATGGCAGGCAAACAATACATAAACTGTTCAAAGGATCCGATTTTTGAATGTTACCCAGTAAAGGGGTTGAAAAACAACAGGGAATGCACTTTCTTATATGTTGCTTTCAAGATTCCTGTGCTATCCATTACCTTTTACCAGCCGGAGTACAAGTCCAGTTGATCCTTGTCTGGGGCTGCTGGGAGTTGAGTCCAAAGCATTAGGAAGGCCCAGTTAGAGGTGGGTTAGGAGAAGTTCCCTCATGCATAATGTCAGTACAATGGTTACAGATCAGGTTTTATCTTGGATGGGCTATAGTGGTCTGAATTTGAAGTTATTCATAAAACAATCTCCTATTCCAGTTTTATATTAATTGGGATAGTTCCTGCCAACTTTCGCTTTCTGACTTAATTCAGATAGTGGCTTGAACATCAGATCAAAGGTAGATCAAGGCCAGCTCTCTGCTCCAGTGGTGACCAGCCAAAAGCCTCTGAGAACCTTACAACATCATATTAAGCTGATTTGAGGCTTCCTGTTGAGACTTGCATAATAATATTTTAAAATCTTCATATAGCACCTTTCCTGTTTAAGGCATTTCACATATATTCGTTATGTAAGCTTTGCAAGAGCTGTTAAGATGGTCAGTATTAACCTATATTACAAATTGCTGGAGCGGTTTGAGGATGAAAGATTGTAGATTGCCCAAAGTCCCCTAGTGAACTTGTGGCAGAAGCGATATCTGACCTGGGACGGGTTCTTTCCCCGATCTCTCTTGATGCCATCCCACACCACACCTGTCCTCCTTCGCAGAAACACAGAGAGGTCACACTTCAAACAGAACCAGTAGCTGCTACAAACCTGCTGAAATGATGGTGGGATTACCAAACTGTTGCTGCTTTGGTCCAAATAGATACTTCTGTGCTAAATGGCAGACTAGTAAATTCTTGTAACATTTAAAAAATGTTAAAGCAAATGCTTTTGAAAAATGACCTACATGCTCTTGTTTTTCTTTTGGCAGGAGGTCTTTGGAGAGAAGCAATTTTTTCCCCAGAACTCAATTATAAGATGGCTTGCTACGCACTTGTGTGTCCGTGCAGTATTGGATGATCTTTGTGGCAATATTTTCTTTCTATTTTGTGGCTTCAATGAAAAAAACCTGAATATGGTAATTTTTTTCAATCGTCTCACAAGGGCAGAGAATGTGATGTAAAAATGGATGCATGTGGAAGTATCTGAAAATGAATGGAACGGCTACATTGAGCTACATATTGTAGTAGTTGTATAGACTAAGCAGGGATATATAAGCTGGTGAAGGCCAAAATATGAGGAAGGCCTTTCTCGTACTCCAGCTGCTTGCCATCCTGGTTAAGGCTTCTGGGATCTGTAGTCAGGGTTGCCTGTCAAGGGATGGATGCCAGGTTGTGTGCAAGGGGTGACATTGTGGATATGGAGCACTAAACGCGTCCTTTGCACAGTGACGAAGTGCACAAAGACTTCTGTCTCAAGGGCTGTGTTGTGTGGTACAAACTTTGAATGCCACACCACAGGAACTAATATGGTCTGGTGCAAAAGGTAAGCCATTTCAGCACCGATCAGGAGCAGACTGTGGTATCAGGCACGCCTTACTGGCAATTTCAGCTTTCTCTATCTTCCTGCAGTGTCATCTAAAATGAGATTACTATATCTCACTACATTGAGTAATGTAATGCTGTGCTGTATATATTGTAGTGAGCATTGCATTGGGTATTAGGGTGCCCCTATTATTGTGGTTACTGGTAGGGGAAGAAAAGTTGTTGGGGGACTGGTTGGCCAGTGAAGGAGAAGAGGGAACAGCTGTTCCTTCTTCTGATCTTTCCTACAATCAGACAATTCCCAGTGACCATGCCAGTTTGCCTCCAGGCTTTTGTGGTGCTGTTGCTTAATGCCAGGTCAGTACTTAATGAATGCTCTGTCATCCATGATTTAGTTGTGGATGAGGATGTGGATGACTTGCATTACTGAGACCTTGGTGGAAGTGGTGGGGGGATTGCCCTCTTCCAGGTAAGTCCCCCTGGGTTCTTGGTGGTACACCAACATTGCCTGGTGGGCCGGGGAAGGGTTAGTTGGCCACCATCCATAGCTGTTCTTTCCCCCACATGAGGCTCCCTGTCCACTCGAGTGCAGGTCTTGAGTGTACCTTGGGCTGGACAACCAAGGCCGATTAAGGATCCTGCTGCTGTACTGTCCACCCCGCTACCCAGCAGACTCCCTACCTGAGCCGATGTAGATCGGTTTTGAGGACTCCCAGGATGATGATATTGGGGGATCCCAATATTTATGCCAAGGCGGCCTTATCCTGGCTCAAGACTTCATGGCTGTCATGACAACCATGGGGCTGTCTCATCATGTCACTGGCCCAATGCATATAAAAGGACACATGCTCAATCTGGCCCCCTCAACTGGGCAGGATGATGGTGATCTGGTAGTAGGGGAATTGTCATCAACCCTGTTGTCATAGTCAGATCACTTTCTCCTGAGGATTGGACTTTTGGCCCCTTTTCCCATCTAGGGGGTGGGGGACCTGTGGGGGGGACCCAAGGGGTCTAATGGATCCAAAACGCTTCCAGAGGGCTCTGGGGGATTTGGTCCTGGCATGGTTGGTGCGTCTGCCAATGCCCAGGTCACCCTGTTGTATGAGATGACTTGGGTGGTTGACATGATCGTTCCCAGGTGACCTTTCCCCTCTTGTGGAGCCTGTCCCGATCCCTGGTGCACACCGGAGCTGTGTGGGATGTAGCAAGAGGGAACATGGCTAGACTGCAGGTGGAGGAAAACTTGGAATGAATCTGACTGAACACAGCTTAGTGCCCACTACTGGGCCTATTCTGCAGTGGCAAAGGTGGCAAAGAGGTCTTTCTTTGCTGACGTAATACCATGGACCCCTCAGAGACCTGCTGTAACAAGTTTGTGTAGCACTTTGAGGGTAAAGTTGCTCAGATTTGTCTTGAGTCGGACACCACAATTATCCCTGTGCCATCGGCAGAGGCATCCAGTGCGCCATCCGGTCCAATTTTACTGGATGCGTTTTAGCTCTTGTGACCCAAAGATGTGGGCAAGGTGCTGGGTTATGTCCATGCCACAACTTGCTCAACCTATTGGTTGTTACTGTTATTTATTTGTATTTGTATTTTTATATTGCGTGGTGACATGCCCAGAATAGCGTCTGACTACGGGGCGGCACACAGATGCAGTGACTAGAAGTACGAAGCCATCGCACCGTACGCACATGTCCCTCCACCTGTGCTCCTGAATTTCAGTGCTCCTGGATTTCAGATCAGAGTTCCTGTTCAGAATGTAGGGGCTGATTAAAGCATTACACCAGGACAGGATAAGCCCGTGGCCCATTCCATGCTTAGTTGATGGTTTGTTTGTTTATTTAGGTGACTTCTATGCTGCCCCATTCGCTGAAGCCTCGGGGGGCTCACAAACCATAAATAAATAAAATTCAATAAAACAATATAAATTAATATAAATTAAGTCGCCCTGGCCAAAGAATAAAATGAATAAATAATATTAACAATTAAAATGACATTTGAATAAAAAGGTTGCACCTGTAACAGCTTTAGAACAGCTGTATGGTATCATGGAAGTGCCATTAGGAATGCAAGCTTGTGCTCACTTACCTGGAGTTAAGCCCCATTTAACACAGTGGGATGCACATCTGAGTAATGTAGGATTTCTCAGAATGACTTGTATGTTGTAAAATACTGCATTACTGTCTGATAATCAATCTAAATGCTAATCATTTTGCTGTTTGTTGCAGACTCGAGTAGATGTATATACAACACACTGTCCAGCTGGAACATCTGTCCAGAACATACTTCACTGGATTCAGGTAGACCTGAAATCCTCTGTCAGCCCATTGGCTGGATTATTGAGTTCAAGGGAATGAATATGGTGTTATAAAATGAATAATCATGATGGGAGGAAAATGCAACTCAGTAATTTGGCCTTTAATATTTATTTTGCTTAGCACACATAATTTGCTGTTACAATCAGGATTTAAACATGAGGCTGCCAAATATTGTGTATGTGTAAAAGCAATCAAATTGAGGATATTTCAGAAGCAATCAATACTCTTTCTTATTCATTGATCTGATAGTCCATTTGTGGGTGGAATGCCAAAGTGCTACATTTCTATAATATTAGGGAAACCTTTGTGTGAATAAGGTGGAGGTTTGGAGTTCTTCTGTGACTTGGAAATAGATGGCAAGCAAAGCATGAACACAGTTTGGAACACCTTTCCTTGAATACGGTTGGTGGTAGATTCTGTGTCTCTTCAGTGGAAGGGCTACACATTTGCAGAAGAGAACCCGCCAGGCCCGAGGCTTTTCACTTCTTTGTAGTAGTAGTGCAGGGCATCCTCTGTCTGCGGCAGTTAATGTCCTCGTTAGAAATGTGAAATGGGCTTGCAGCCATGAGTCCGCTAGAGCTATGGCTTCCCCAGTGCTGCTTGCCGGGTGGATTGTACGGGATGCGTCGCTGGGGATGGGACTCTCACTTTGGAATGTGGAGGTGCTAGATGGAACGGGTGCTTTCTGTGGCCGGCTCCATCTTTCATCAGTTGAACGTAGTAGCACATTTGAGTAAACCTGCTTAGAATTGTGCCTTCACTTGTTCAATGTATGGGCTGTTTTCCAGTATAAAGATGGTGCAGCTCTCCCATCCTTTTCAAGCAGTAAGAGTATTACAGGAGAAATAACTGCCTTTCGCTCTCACATGGCTGCTATGCCTCATTGGGTGGTTAAAATATTCATGTGTCTTCTCTTCCTTAAAAATAGAAAACTAAGAAAAGGTAGCTGCTAACTTGTCCTGGATAACCTGAATTACTGCTGGAGTATTCGGATATTTTTCGGTTTCTGCCAATGGTGATGCTGTGGCATAATTCTGTGAATGCATATGCTCACGTGAGTGTGTCCTTATTGTTTTTCAGGCTGTGAAGTCTGGGGAGCTCCGAGCCTTTGACTGGGGAAGCAAGCAAAGAAATATGGCGCACTATAACCAGGTAAGGTTCTATCCCCACCATGGGAATGTCACCAGATCCTCTTGGTTCTGTGACTGTAAGCTATACTGATCTGGTCAAACTATATATCCATATTTGGGGTATGAGTTTTAATTATTTAATATTAAGTAGAAACCAGGAAACCTTTGCCATGGTGTTGGTACGGATGTGTGAGAAATCTGTTTTCAGCTCCCCTGACTCCAGCCTGCTCTCTTGTAGGTGTGAGTTTGACTCCCTAGCCAGGAAGGTGAGCCCTTGTGAATGCTTCACAAACCGCATCCCTCTTCCACACGTGATTGCAGGCTCTGTTTGTGCTGCATGTGCTGTGGAAGAAGGCTGCTGGTGGAACGCCAGCTAAGTCTTCTTGACTTAACTGAGCTGAGTCAAGTCTTCCTGACTCAGACCAGGCTGAGCTTGAGAAGATGTCTGACAAACTGTTGAGGCACAGATTCAAGGCAGTAGTATTGCAACTCTAGTTTTGGTGACAAAAATAGCTGTTAATATAATCTAAGCTACTTGAAATGAAAGTATACCGAATTCTTTCTCACTCAATGCTCTTACTGCCAAGGCTTCAAAAGGCAAATGCTCCTCATTCAGGTGTGCATGTGCCGGCATTGCCCTGGCTTGCTTTTAAAGCAAGCACCTTCGGTGAGCTTAGGAGTGTGTTCCACAACTGCCTTTTGTCTACTGTACCCAGTCCCACAAGTTGCAGATGGTGCAAGTAGGTATAAATCATAAGCTTGTATGCTTGGGGAAGTTTGCTGATACCTGTCAGGGAGATGTCTCAATGGCCTAGCACTGCTGTTCTTTTCTCTATCTCTAGCTTTAAAAAAGACAGAGATGTAGGCTTGATTCAGGGCTGACTCGCTTTGGGGAAATTTTGTCTGGAAGGCTTTACAGAGTGTGTAATCCACAAATCGCTCTTAAACTATTGCCTTCCCTCCCTCCTAGCCAACTCCACCTGTCTACAAGGTGAAAAAGATGACTGTTCCAACGGCTATCTGGACTGGCGGTCACGACTGGCTTGCAGATAGAAAGGATGCTGCCTTGCTGCTGACCCAGATCTCAGACCTTATTTACCACAAGGAAATCCCTGAGTGGGAACATCTAGATTTCATCTGGGGCCTTGATGCCCCACAGCGCCTGTATAGGGAGATAATTGCATTGATGCAGAAATATCAGTAAGATTGTGGGTTCTGGGACCTCAGTATTTCGTCAAGGAACCAATATACTTGCTTTTAGGTATGCTATTTCCAAAAAGTCAAATTGGAACAGCATTCCTATCTTCTCAAGCATTTACAGTATTATTATTGTATCTTAATGTCTCAGGAAATGGCACTTTTGCACTGCTTGTAAGCACTTAAATCCACGCAGCTTTAATGGAGGGGATGAAGTGTAGTTTGACCAGTCTCCTGACACAGAAATTTGGAAAGACTAAAATGAGTTACCGCTAAGTTTGCACAGGTTTTTATCTAATATAGCCTGGAATTAACACTGGTTTTCTCAGATATGATGTGAACGGGGGCCAGGAAGAAGCAACTGTTAAGGCCCTGCTAACATCTATTATCTCGATGCCATAAAGCAGTGGTTGGTCATTTTTTTAAGTGTGTTTATTATTGATACACCAGTGGAAACTGGTGGGGCTGCCTCCAACCATTCAAGAAGATGATATGTCCCCATGGCCGAGGTTCTTGCTATGGGAGCCTGTGGAACGCGGGGTTCCTACAGGACTCCTGAGCTTTAGCACTTGCTGCCTGCTGCCTCTGCAGCAAATTTCTAAGGCTTCGGTGCAGTAACTTCAGGGTATACAGAAACAGCTTTGACAGCTGCATCCTTGTGATTTAAATAAAAAGCAGGTATTATCTGGCATAAAGATGTTTCCTCTTGGCACTTTGGTTTTAGAGGCTCTGTATGATCAGGAATTAAAATGCATACCTTAAAGCAGTCTTCCCCTCCCTGGTTGCCATCCAGAGCTTTAGGAGTACAAGTCACACCCGCTCCAGCTGACATGACTAATGGTTGGGTCAGCCCCAGACATCTGCAGGTCACGGTGATGCTGGAAGAAGAAATATTTCTTTCAAAGAAGAGGTTCAGGCTGGCACCTGCGTTCTTCTGCCTCCATTTACTCTTGTTATGCATCTTGAAGATACGGATGCTTTTCTAAGATAGGGAGGCTGTGCCTCTTAAAAGCAACATGGTATGCAACACACAGTGAAAAGACTGGCATATTGAGCCTCCACTGTTTACCAAGAAATTAATTCTGCCCATGTTGGTTCATACGAACCTGGCTTCAGCTTGAATGCTTTGTTACTGGAATGCAAATTCTGAGAATGTACAAATGCGCTGATTTAAGACCATAAGTGAGTGAGCCTATGGCTAATGGGTTGGCACACAAATCAAATGAATAAAGTAAACAGCACACATATTTTGCCAGTAAAATGTTTCCAGTAGAGTTCCTGGCTGTAGAGGGCTGGGGAAGACCCTTTTCTAAAAGCCTGGAGAGCAGCTGCTGGTCATGTTGGCATTACAGGATCGCCTGGAAGAGCTGTCTCACTTGGAATAAGGCAGCTTCCTATAGCGCAGTCCAGAGCATGTTGCATGGAACTTCCTATGGACAGAATACCGTTTCAGACCCTCTGAGAGCTCTTTTCTATATGGTGCTAGTTCTGTGCAAACACATGTTTAAGGAAGACTATGAGGAAGGGTTCAAACTGATGTCCTGTGAATAATTTTCTTTTAGTGTTGAACTACGTTCCAGAACTTACAGGAAGTTCCACTTTTGTTATTCACCAGCCTGTGCAAAATTGTTAAAAGAAAAATGTAGCTTCAGCTGTTTTGCTTTGCAGTCTTTTTTCTTAAATGTGTACGCCTGTTCTTCTGCACTGACTGAGCTGCAGTGTTGACTACTACCAAAGACGTTAGGTTGATTATATTGTGCCTGTGTCCTGATTTGACTTTTTTAAAACTTCATGCTTCAGGGAAATGTCTGAATAAACATTTTTAAACAACTACTTACCATGGGATGTGTTCTGTAAGTCAGGGAATGTAACTTTTACATTCAATAGCAAATCTACATCGAAACCATGGGGCCACAAAAGCAACACCTTTTATTTTTCTCTCTGTGCCTCCTTAGCTGGCATCCTGCTTTTGCAACAAGCCCAGAAAGCTTGGCTTGAGCAATCAGATGAGAACATGCCGTGAAGCCAAAGCACCAAACCACGTTTGTCCAAGTTGCTGAAGAAATGGCTTGATCTAACAGAAGATACAATAGAAAGGGATGATTCCATGTGTAGGTTTCCTTTGCTAGTTGCACGAATCAGTCTCAAAAGACTGGAAAACAAATAGGGGATTTCTAGTCACAAAAATGGTGTGGGGGGCCTTTGAATACCAAAGGAGGTTTGGATGATAAGGGTGGAAAAAGTGAAATGACATGCACAGCAAGTGCTCTGTTTTGGGAGTGTTCTGTAATGATAATTTAACACAGAACTGGCATGTCCTTGAGGTGATTCTAATATGGCAGAAATGCCTGAACATTCATAAAAAATTGTGATTGCAGTATAAATAAGAGGAACACGACAATTTAACCCTGTAGAGCAGCCTTGCCAGCTGCTTTCCAGATGTTTTGGACTGTACTTCCAGCCAACATGACGGGAGTTAGTCTCACATCTGGAGGACAACAGGTTGGATAAGTCTCTCTTAGGGCCTACATTTCCTTCTCTGGTTATTTTACTAGATGGACACACAACAACTTGCTATTGTGATGGAATGAACCACTGGCAGCCTGTCTATTGTAGTGGTTGAGAATGTTGTCCTGGCACTTGAGTTGTGGGTTTTACCACCTATTTAGCTATGAATCCCACTGAGTGACTTTGGGCTAGTGACAGATGCTCAGCCTTCCTTTCCTCACAGGGCTGTTGTGGGAATAAAAAGGACAGCAGGAGAAACTTACAAGCCTTCCTGCCGTCCTTGCAAGAGGAAGAAACGTGGAATATAAATGTGTTGATAATAAATGAAAGCTGCTTCTCTGCATTGCTTAGAAAACCAGGGTTACATTCCAGGAAAAAGGCAGAAAGCACTCCACACAGTTTCATTTCCTGCCTTTCCACCAGGAAAATGGCACTCAAGGTGGCTAAAAATCAGAAATACTTTTAAAAATGTAGTTAATTATGTTACACCAAACATTATAGAATAGAAACCACCCCATTCAACAGACCATTTTGTTACCTGTTCATCTTTCCTTTTTCTGCAAGGCATATTTGCTGCTCCCAGTCTTCATTTTGCCCTCGCAACAACCATATGAGGTAGGTTAGGCTGAGATCTGGTAAATGGCCCAAAGTCATCTGTTGACCTCCGTGGCTGAGTGAAGAAGTGAACCTGGGTCTCCCCAGTCCAGCCCTCAAACCACTGCACCACCCTGGAAGGACAATGAAGGGAAAGAGGCGACTTAGTCTTCCTTGGCAGGGAGCTCTGTAATCGCAGGAAAAATTGGGCACTGCTCCTTGGGGTGCTCATAAGGAACGAGTATTATTAATTTGAGAAGCTCTTGAAAAATTCAGGAAATGCAGGAGCTAAAAGCCTAGGAGGAGATCCATTGCTTTTAAATTTGACATGGGTAAGTGCAACCTTCTTTAGAGGATACTTTTCAAAGCTACCATTTAAAGCAAATGCGTGATTCTGCCACAAGATGGTGCTGTAGCACTTAGAAAGGACGGCCTGTAAGTTGCTTCTGGCACCTGAAGGGCAGAATCCTGCCATGTCTAGACACGAAAGGAGTCTAAGCTCCTGGCACTCCGGGAGTTAAAGAGGACTTTTCCCTGTCTAAACAGGCATAGGATTTCAGTGCAAACTGAGAGTTCTTAATCTGTACCAACTGTTTCCTCTGCAACTTCGGTCAGGGGAAAACCCAAAACTTTTTCCAACAAATGAAAGCAGGACACCAAATCTCTAGTCAATACCAATGTTTCTTATTTTGAAGAAAGGATTTTTTTTTTTTTTGTGGCAAAAGTAATGTCGTTCCTGCTGAAAGTACAAAAAGGACAAAAGTTTGTGGTTAAGAAATTAAGAACAGCCATGCTGGATCAGACCAAAGGTCCACCCAGTCCAGCAGTCCCTTCACATAGTGGCAAACCAGCTGCCCTCAGGATCCCTCAAGCAGGAGGGGTGCAAGCCTCCACCTGGCCAACTCCCCAGCACCTGGCGCATGCAGGCAGCCACCCCGATAACAGAGGCAGCAACTTTACAAGTACAAAAGACAAAAGCCACATTGCCAGCTCTAGTGAATGAACAGTTTAAAGAGACTTTTTAAAAAGTCACTTAAATTTGGTGAATGTTAATGCTAGACCTTGTATATCATTTGAGCCAATGATTTTTCTGCCTATAGTTTTCAGAGCTGCCCCCACCCCCCACTCCCAATGTCCGAACTCCCCTTTGGTAGGATCACTTTGCTACTCTAGACACCAGCTAAATATGTAAACTGAGTCCACTGAAAAGCATCATGTTTGAGGTAATATGACAATTGAAGTGCTGCCTGCGACATAATAGATGTGGTGGGTTTATTTACACATTACACATCTGGAAAGCATTCGATTCCCAGACTTTGCAGAATAGTTTATGCAAAGCCTTATGCAAGACCTTGGATAAGGACAGAAACAGGCTTTGTGCAAGCAGTAGAAGCTTTGCATTAGAGGAATGATAGCAGTATATGCAACCCATTATATTACTCTCTGCAAAATAAGGGTCTTACTTACTTGTTGCAGTGGGGAATCTTTCCCACTTTTGTACTGACAAATGTTTAATTGTAAACAGAGGGGCTTGCCTGAGTTTCTCATACATGTGAAGAAATGATATTAACAACAGAAGCTGCAATGAGCAGGGCAGAATTACTTCTATCTCCAAAAAGGCCAAGACCTTTTTATTTAAACATCATTTTAATTGTTAGCTTTATTTATTGATTTTATATCTTCGGCCAGGATGTCTCCAATTATATTGTTTTTATATGTTTAACATGTATTTATTTATTGTTGTAAGCCGCCCTGAGGCTTCGGCAAATGGGGCGGCATAGAAGCTTACTAAATAAAATAAAATAAAATAAAATAAATCTCAGAATAGTTTTATTGCAAAGCATTATTTGCTGTCTCACAGGATTAGAACTGTGTGATGTCAAGAAGTGTTCCCAGTATTGCTGCTCTAATTTGTGTATTCATACAGGGTTCCTTCTAACAGCCATGTGATAGCTGATAGCAGATGACTTCAGATGTGGCTGTACCAGTAACCCACCTACTTTTCAACACACACCTGTGGATGTTGAGGATGGACAGTGATTGGGCCTTCTGTGACTTTTCTTCTTCTCTCTGTAGGGAAGTGGGGAAAGTTCTGGTAAGGCAAAAATCAGTGTGAGGGACAGGGCAGAGGAGGCTGGTTCTTACATGCAGGGGTAGCTTTACCTCCTCTTGTGACTGATAAAGTGCTAATGGGAAGCTGTGACTGACAATCCTGGGCAGGTTCACATGTCCTGAACCAGCGTGGTGTAGTGGTTAGTGTGTGAGAGTGGGAACCTGGGAGAACTGGGTTCCAGTGCCTACTCGGCCATGAAGCTCACTGAGTGACTTTGGGCTAGTCACCCACTCTTAGCCTAACCTCTCCCGCAGGGTGGTTGTTATGAGGGTAACATGGAGTGAAGCGGAACTAAATAAGACACTTTAGATTCCTCACAAAAGGAGAAAAGACGATACAAATGCAATATCACCATCATCACCATCGCCACCACCACCACCATCATAGTCTTTCCACACATGGTTGACCTTTTTTTTAGTTCAAATCACATTAAGGATGGAGAAGCACTGCTTTATGAAGGTCCCTGACTGCCAATCAGTCTCCAGTGCCAAACGCAAGGTGCATGTGTTTCTCCACCACAAGGTGAATATGTATTGCGGTGATGATGGAGGAAACTGCCTTACATTGGTTGACACTGAGCAACTTGGTAAACCCTAAGCCTTTGGGCTGAGCTGTCAAGACCTCTACCCAAAGTGTTTTTGAAACAGCCAATTGCTCCTTGCTTTGAATATCTGTGAAGGACAAGAAAAGTGCTAGGCTGAAAAGTGCTAGGTGACTGACTGCTGTGCTGGGCATTCCTTCCAGCGTGTTGTATGTGTGTTTTGGGGTGAGGATCTGGAAGAGTCTCCCCAGTACCTCCTTCTGGTGTAATTAAGAGCAGGGCACCAAAAAAGGTCCTTTCACATGTTGTGCTTATTCTGGTGGAACTCATTATGTCTGGATAAGTGACAAGGAAACCTTGGGACTGGCCATCTGTGGAAAGACCAGGGGCACAATGTGACTGTGCTGCGATCTCACTGTACCCGTAAGGCTGCTAGCTTTAGAACTGGCTGCTGGGGCAGTTCTCTTAAAAGCAGTTTGTTCTGCAGCAATTATTCAGTGAAAAATGTTTCCATGTGCAGAAACATTCACCCTGTCATTTCCACAGGCTGAAGCTCCATGAAAAGCAGAGAAGGAGGCCAGGCTGTCTTATTATTCCTTGCTGGTTTGCAATTACAGTATTTTTTAAGTGAGAGTCTGCAAAGTGGGGTTTGGCTTGTAGCTTTCCCAGCATGCTGTCAGCATGAAAAAGAACAGGATCTCAGGGGATCCACAAGATCTACATAAACCAAGCTGCATACTAAGACAATTCATCTTTTGCTTGGGGGTGGGAACTTAGTCAGAATGGGATCTAAAGCCTGGAACACTTTTTGGCCAGAAGCCTAGTTTCTGTACTGCACAAAATTCACTGCGGCGATACAGTTCAAGATTATTTTGCTTTGTCTGAAAAGATATATTGATTTATTTTGATTCATAAACCCAGGAATATTTGTAAAAGAATAGTCCATTTCTGCTAACTGTGTGAAAGAAGCTTTTGCTTCACAGTATTCTGTTCACAAAACAGGTGATGGTAAGATGGACTACCGGGGATGCCTCAAGTTGATGTTTCAGAATTGCAGCCCATCACATGGAGGCATCAGCCTCATGCGACAGCTGCACACTACGTCTTTGTTGAGCTTGCACACACGAGAGCAGAGCCTGCTTTACCATGGGCTGTGCTAAGCCACACAGCGATGGCGCACCAGACTGTTTCTCCGTTCACAGCACTGCCTTTTGTTATTGCAGGTGACATCGCCGCCGTGTCGATGTCCCCAGGTGCCACCTGCCAGGTGTGGAACCCCGCTGTCCCTTCGGCATCCGCAGCAGGGGCTTTTTAGAGCATCCATGCCATGCTCTGAGGAAGCGGTGCTTTCTGCAGCACATGGCATCAGGAGGTGAGATGGCCGTGGCAATCCTGGAGTCGCCTGCACTGCTACCATTCAAGACCACTTAAAAGCAAAACTCTGGGAGTGGCGGAAGCAGCAGCGGTGCCTCTGCCTCAAGGATCCTGTGCCCGTGTCAGAAGCTGCAGCAATTGCCTTTCCCAGCCATTTGGGAATACAGAAAATGGCACGTTTAGCAGTGCAAATATATGCATATCTGCCCAGAAGCACATCCTAGTATGTCAAGTGGGATTTACTCCCAAGTAAGTGCATACAGGATGAGAGCCAGTGTGGTGTAGTGGTTAAGAGTATGGGACTGGGACTCAGAGGATCTGGGTTCGAGTCCCCGCTCGGCCATGGAGCCAACTGGGTGACTTTGGGCCAGTCACAGACTCTCAGCCCAACCTACCTCACAGGGTTGTTGCTGTGGGGATAAGTTGGAGGAGGAGAATTATGTCAGCTGCCTTGAGCCCTTTGTAGGGAAAAGGCAGAATATAAATCGCAATCGCAATCCAACGGTGTTTATTACCTTTATTAGTCACCTCAGAATGCACATTTTCTAGGCCATGTGCAGTAAACCGAGTTAAAACAAGATTACAAGCCAAGCAATACAATAATGCTGAATACTGAATCCCAACCCAGTACCAGAGAATGAAACCAATCCCAACCACAAACATCATTTGGCACATAACTGGAGTTCAAATCAGACATGGTTATATTTTGTATGCTGACAGGTGAGGTCAGGGCACCCCTCCCCCATGTGTTAGTCACACTGTTTAGAAATGAGTCAACAAGCCCTTAATGAGGTCCTCGTCTTGCAGCGTGGTGCCGTCTCTGCCATCCCACTGCCTGCTATGCCAGCTGGGGCTTGTAGTGGTTGCAAAGCCATCCCAAGTCGCACTCCTTGCCAAATCATGTACCATGCGAGGAAAAGAAACCACTGTGGCTTCTCTTCGCATGATTGTCCAAAGCTGACCGACCTTTCTGTTTCATTTCCCCTCCTCTGCGTCCTGATAGACATATCAGAAAGGCATGGGGAGAAACCTTTTGGGGAAGTTAATTGGGCAGACAATCTCCTGAAAGGTGGTTATTGAGGTCTCCTTGGCTGCCGGTGGAAGCCCCTGAGCTGCACCAAAGTGGAGCTGGACTCCATCTTGGTTGAGGGCTGGACATAAGGGCCCAGGCCCCGTGGCAGGTCAGTCCTTTTGTCAATGGATGCGAAGCACATGACTGGCTGATACATGTGATTTCCAGTGGCAGTGGCGGAGCTGTCTCAGTCATAGAGGTGGCAGCAGCTCCCAGCAGCTCTCAGGAATGGCTGGTCAGATCAATCTTACAAACAAACTGCCTTTTGTTTTCCATTTCAGTGTTACAATATTTTCTTCCATCTTAAGACAGGCAAGGGAGGGAAGAAGCACCAACAGCCTAATAAGTGCTACAGTTACAACGGTACTTTTATTTATAGAGTGCCAAACCTGTTATATGCATATAAATATAAATGTGTTTCGATGTGACCAATCGAATGAAACTTAAAGAGGATGGGTCTGTAGCCAAAATTGTGTTTCCTTTAAATAATGTTTAAAGAGCCTTCCACAGTGGCCAGAATAACAGTGCAGTCTTCTGACCAGTGAACATTGTCTGGCCAGTCATAGGAAAAAGCGGCGTCCCCATTACAACCTTATCAAAGCCCACCAAGGTTGCAGCAGGGACTCCCCCTCCAGAAGCCCCCCTTCTGCCCTCGCAGCTGGCTCAGTTCTTGCTGCACCAGCTGCAGCACCAAAGACGGAAGACCATCTTTGGCATAGACCCTGCGGGGCAGCATTTTGGTGATGGTGAGTGGAGGCGCCAGGCGCTGCTGTTCCGTGGAGATCCAAGTGAAGCCCCAGTCCTGCTCCTTGCAAGCAGAGGCAAAAGAGCCAGATGGATAAAACCAGGCAGGAAAGGGAGGAGGCAAACCTTTGAGGGCTCTGGGCAACCACATTGGATAGCACCCAAGTTCATTTTTTTTAATGAAACATTTGTGTGTGGGGTTTTTTTTAAAAGCATCTGTGTGTCTATTTGTGGGTTTGGTGGTAGGCCAATTATTAAAATAGTATTCCTGTTTTGCTGTCTGCTGAGTGCCCACAATTTATCTTAATAGCATTTATGTCTCCCTCTGGACCATATTAATTTGTCTTTTAAAAATATTTTTGTCTCTGTTACCTTAATTACATTCATCTTAAAGAGAGTGACCATGTTCCAGTTTAAAAAAAAATGCTGGGCCCCAAATTAAAAGAAAGAAATCCATTTCCATGTGCTGTAGTGGTTTAAAATTAATTTCTGCTTGCTTCTTGTACTGCTTGTTTGCATTTCTCTCTCTGGATTTCTTGGTGTGGGACACACGTGCACACACACAGAATGTGTGCCAAATTATGTTATTTGGCAGAAAATAAATGCATGTGATGCTTGCTTCAAAATTAACTACTCACTCTGTATTTGTTGGAATGGTTTTCTGTGTACGGTGTGGTTGAAAAAGCCAGTGTTTCTCTGGTTACCTAGAAAATACTTGCCTGCGCACTTATAGTGCACTTTGGCTTACGCTGGCTTGCAAGGTGTAGCAAACCAGATGCACCTGGCTCCGTCTCTGGGGGCTCAGCATCCACCCCTCCAGCTACAGCAGGCACAAATCCCAGAGAATGCAATCCTCTACCCCGCCCGCCCCCCATTCAAACAACCTAGAAATCAAACAAAATCAAACAACCTAAAAACAAGCTTCTTCTGCAGCTATTTCCTGTTAGTGCTCAGAGATAAGCTGCTATTAAAGGCAAGTGGCATTTAAGAAGGAGGTGCTTTGAAAGCAGGAGCACTGTTGCATAGAACTGATCTGCATTTGATACACTCGATGAGCCAGTGTCTAACTTGCTAAGAATTACATCGGTCTTTGCCCTTGTCCCTTTCGTTGTCCCTGGCTCTGTTCTTAAGCCCACCCACTACAAGGATACAGTCCCTGGGCTGCTTCCCAAATTGTAATCTGGCCGGCAGACCAACATTTAATTCTCCCTTTTTGGCGGGGTGGGGAGTGCTGTCTCCTCCCATGTGTGTGTTTACTTCTGACTAAATATGTTTGGGAATCAACTCTCTGGTTCACGCAATAATGACTTGTGGGCTGCACACTGCTAGAAAAATGCAAAGTAAGAGTGACATCCAGCCACCTTTTTCGAGTGGTACAAGGCCTGGTTCGCCCGGGTCCTAAGGAAGATCCGATGCCACCCTCAAAGGCCCGCTGTGACGACTTTGCCAGGCATTTCAG